TTTATAAAAATAAATTTAAAAATTTTAAGAAAAGAGCATTGATCTTGTTTGTTTTAGATATATGGATACCTATGACTAGGGGTGTTCATGGTTTGGATAAAAACCGATTCAAACCGAAAAAACAAACCAAATCGATTAAATGAACCGATTTAATTTGAGTTTTGGTTTGGTTTGGTTTTAGATTGTTAAGAACCGATAGTCATTGGTTTGGTTATGATTTTGTTCGGAAAAAATCGAACAAATAACCGAACCGAACCAACATGTTATATACATAAATTTTATTATTATACATACATAATATATTATATTCATAAACAATTTTAAAGATTTTATATATGTTTCATCAAAATTTATTTATAATTTAGATTTACTTATGAAAGAAAAAATGTCCAAGGTGAGAACATTTTTCTTATTGTTTTCATGTATATGAGTGTCTATGGAAATTCATTGTGGGACTGAAAATGTCATTGTCTCTCCCTTCTACGCCAAAATAGTGAATTTGAAGTTTTATTCAGTAAATTCAATGATCCAAAGTTCTGTAATGCCAATCATTCTAACTATTTTTTCGTTTGAATGGATTGTTGTCACTTTTTTCACGTTTTGAATGAATTGTTTCTTTTATTTTTATGTATAGTTAATAACCGAACCAAACCAAACCAAAACCGAAAACAACCAAACCGATAAATGTATATTATATTTGGTTTGGTTTTGATAATTTTAAAACCGATTAAATTGATTTAATTTTAGTTTTGACCAATAACCGACCCAAACCAACCCGTGAACACCCCTACCTATGATAAACTCCAATTCTGGCTAGGAGCAAGTGTCGATGTTTCTTCCTTATTTAGGTTAAAAGTGGTTACTTTTGGAGCCTTGTTAATATTAATAAATTTGGTGATATGAAGTTCTGTCATGTTAATTGTTTTAACTTTTTAAAAAAAATTAAAATGAGACGTTTTTTTTTTCCTTTTTAAATGAATCATTTTTAAATTTTTTGTATATAATTAATAATAAAACCAAATAATATCAAGATCGATAATAACAAAATGAATAAATATATATTTTATTTGGTTTGATTTGATTTTATATCTCAGTTCAATTTGTTTGACCTACTTTCTTTTTATTTTTGTTTATAAAGAATGATCCTTTCTATTTTTAGTAATTTTTTAGTTTCAACTTTTCACATGACATGTTTAAGACCATAAGATATAAGGACATTTTTATACATTTGACACATTTTTAATTTAAGACCACGAGATTCAATTTTTTTTTTGTTATTTCTTTAACTCTGTGACAAGTTAAAATAAGCCAAACAAATTGAAACAAAGGGAGTAATAATTTAAAAATTGATTAAACTGATTTGGTTTTGATTTTGACCAATAACCGATCCAAATCAACCCGTGAGCAACCCTACATATATACGACATATAATACTCCCCTTCAGTCCATACACGTGAATTGTTGAGACTTTTTTCATAGTCCAAAATATGTAAATTTTTCAACGTTAAATCGGCAACGTTCATAGAGCGCACTATATGTGCTAATTACTTAATGCATCGATAGTTCAATAATCATATATCTTGTAGGTACATTGTATTTGCCTTTAGGTACACTATATCTCGTCTCTCTGTGTATATCGATTGCATCCAATATTTTAATAGCAATTTCATATATTTAACATAAAAATACATTGATATATCCAATATTACTGTGTAGGGATGGCAATGGGGCAGGACAGATGTAGAGCGGGATGAGTTTAAGACTATGCGGGGAAGAGCGGGGGCGGTTTAAGGTTGTGCGGGACGGGAGGGATGCGGGCAGGTAGAAGTGATTTTTTTAAAAAACTAATGCGGAAGGGGGGGGGGGGGGGTTGTGGGTATATGTGGTTTTATGCGGATCCAAACTTAATTTTAACTTTTACTTGTTATAAGAGTGATAGAACATTATTTATTTATTAAGATAATTTCTTTAAAGCTACTAAAATATTTAAGAGTGTAAAAAAATAAAATAAAAAATATTCAAGATAGTAAATGAAAATGGTTCAATAATAATAAAAAAAAATACATTTCTTACTTGTTTCCCAATGACCTCTAAAAAAATAAATTTTAAGTTATTATATATTAAATTAGTATAACTTATTGAAGAAAACAAATTTATTTTTATGAATTTTATTTCAGTATCAAACTTAACTAGAAAAAGAAAATATTAAAAGAATTATGCGGGGCGGGTTCATACAGGGTGAGTCTATGCGGGGCGGGTTGAAAATGAAAAAAATTAGTAGTTATGCGGAAATGGGTTAAAAAATTGGCGGGTTAAGCTCAACACACCCCGCCCCACTCCATTGCCATCCCAATTTCTGTGTATATATCTAGTATATCTGTGCATAATTATAGATATGATTGAGAAGACGCTTATATATATTCAGTGTATGTCAGGGCCGGCTCTATGTATACAAAAATAAGGCATTGGCCTTAGGCCCCCAATTTTAGGGGGCCTCAATTTTTACCAAGAATAAATTATGTGTTAATTTTTTAAAGAGAAACATTAAATATTTATGATAAAAAGTATATATTTAAAATTATTATTTTATTCTCTTCAACCCCATTCAAATAGAAGAAATCAAGAAAATATTGTTTTATTTTCTTACACTCTCTCTACTAATACTCACATTATTTTCTTTTTAACTCCTTTTACACTCTCTTCTTTAAATTGTTGATAAGTTAGAGTAATATTTTGTCAAAAATATCAATTAATAGTCGAAAAGTGTTGAACAAATTGAATTGTAAATTCTTTTTCCATTTCTTCTTAGATTTTCAAGCATTACAACAACCATAGTAAAATGTGGGGTAACCAAATTATCAACTTCATCAAAGCTATGGTTCTAACTATTATATTTATTTGAAATTTGTCAACTTATTACTTGTAGAACTATGTTAACAATTCATATAATGATTGCCCGAGTAAAATAATATTTTTCAACGTTGAATTAATAAAATCTTATTTAAAACTAATAAATGAAAAAGAAATCGAATAAATCATTTATATATAAAAATATATATTAGGTAATACTTTGCATTTAAAAATGTAAGAAAAATAAATTTTAAATAAATGCATGTGAAGTTTATTTAGATTTTAGGTCTCTAATTAAGATTTCGCTTTAGGCCTCCGATTATGTTGAGCCGCCCCTGGTGTATGTATGCATAAAATACATCTACCTAGTATCAAATTTATGATATAATTATTTAAATACAAGTATCTGTGAATAGAGATATGTGTATAATATAATTATATTTTAAATAGGCACTTTTCAATAACAATACGAAATCAATTACATAGCAAAAAAAAAAAAGGTAGAGAGGAAGAGCGAACAAAAGAAAAAGGAGGAGAAAAAGCGATAAATTATGAAATTATTTTAACGTCCGATAAAATTTAATAAATTTGATAGAAATATTGTTCGAACTATAAATCAATTCCCTCTTGGCTTTCCAAACGTGCCCATAAATTAGTGAGGTTGAAAAGGTGGTCCCACATATGCGGTGAATAAATTAGCTAAAACCATATATAGGTAGTTGAATTTAATACTTAGAGAAAGAGGAAGAAAATTAAAGAAAAAGTGTGGTACGTGAGTAACCGACGCAACTTCACACGTGTGAGTCGGTGGCAGTTTAATTAGGTATAAGAAGATGTTGCTATAATTCCTTTTCTCAAATTAATATTTAGGAAATTTAACTTTTTACATATTTGATGGTGTAATAATTTATTTTTACAGTACAAGTAAACCTATAAAAGTATAGAAAACCACTTATAATTATGAAATTAACAATTTTATTTTCAAGTAATCTTCTTCAAAAAGTTAAAGTATACCAATATTATAAACTTTTATAAATGGTTACTGTATATTTAAATTAAACTCACATTTTTGGAAAATCGTTATAGCACTTTCTCAGACTATTTTAAGATACAAAGAAATCACACAACACACCTTGTTATTATTAGTTAGGCTTCTCCAAATAAGGAAGAGTTATCCCAACCTTTTTCTTTTTATATTTTGATTATTATTAAGGTTATCTTAAAACATATTCTATATGAAATAGATGATACTAAAAATTTTGATGTAAAATTTATATTGATATTAAATAAATTTCAATAATTAAATGGTAGATAGCCACAATGTCAAATTTAATATTATAATTAATGTCCTAACCGTTATAACCAAATGATTCCTTACCGTATGTGAATAAAGTAAAAAATATTCATTTTTGTTTATCTTCAAAATGACAGTTGGGTAGTACAAAAATTAACAAAATAAATCCTTATACAATTAGGGGTGGATTATACTCTTGTGATTATAATTCGTAGACTAATTTATCCTGTTCTTAGGTATGATAAAATAACATAAAATTTAAAATATTAATTTATCTCAAAATTAGTTATATCTACAATCAAGTAAAATATATATATGAAATACTTTTCTCTTTTGCCCTCAAAAGAATATCACATTTCTATAATTAAAATAATTTAACTTTAAAATTTCTTATTTACTCTTAATGAAATTATGTTCATACAAATGACAACGGAATATTTTAGACCACAAATTTCAGAATTCTTTATTTAATTACTAATTATCTTTAATGTTTGATTTATAAACAAAAAATTATAAGTTAGAAATTCTAACTTATGACTCATTTTAACTTAAAATTAAATGCTTATAAACACTTTTTGAATTAACCAAAACGCTCTGCTTAAAAAATATTTAACTTAAAAACGTCTGTGTCCAAACTAATAACACAACTTATTTGAAACGAGTTAAACAAATATAGTAAACCGGGTGTTAAGTCTAATGAGAAGAATGTCAAAGTTGGGCAACTACAGAGTAGCACTAGCACTTCCCGCTATCTCCTCTCTCTTATTTCTCCTATAAAAACGTTTCTTCCATTCAACCTTTTTCTCTACTCAATTTCACTCACATTTCTACAGAGAGAGCTCTGCTTTTCATCTCTCCAATGGCAATTTATTGGAGATCCTATCTTTCTCTTTCTGCATTGCTACTTGTGATGCTACTAGTCATCAATGTCACTCCCGGTCACAGGTAATTGAACCCTTTCCATTGATTCATAAGCTTATTTTTGACAATGTCGAAGCAAACAACTTGAATTTCTGAATTCGAGTGTGTTACATGAACGACTCTGTTTCTGATTAGTTCGCGTGAATAGCGAAATTATTATGATTTGCTCATTGATGTACTTTTTTTTTTCATTTTCAGTGCTGAAGAAGCAGAGCAATTCCAGAGCTTAAAGAACTTGACAATGGCGAATAGGTAGATTTTTGATATTCGTTTAACATCTCCTTATTAAATACCATTTGATTTGCTCTTCATATGATATAGCTGTGCATGTAGTATTGGTAAGTTTTAATGTGCATCCCAAAACACAATCCTGATCGTATAGATTGGATCAGGAAAAAAATTGGTTCTATAATTCTGTTAAAAAACCCCTACGATCAGTGACTCTAAATTAGAGCAAATAATTTGCCCAATAACGATTTGCTCCTTCACCGTCATATGCAGCATTGAATTTGTTAAAGAATGAAAAAAGTCTCATATTGATGGTTAATGCTAGCTTTTGGAGTGTGAGTCCGATCCAAGACATAATTTTACAGAATTCTTTTCATTTTGCCTGAAATTGGGCGTTGAATTCATTATCTATACTTTTCATTTTATATTAGCAAATCAAGGCTCAATTTCGATGGTTCTGTTCCCAACATTCAATTTTCTATTTCAAATTTGCAGTTTAAGTGAAGAAAATGTACCAAACCATGAACATGCTGTAGATGATCCAGAAAAGGTGGTTTCAATGGTAGACATGTAAGTTCTCTCTGCTTTTTCTATCATCAGAATGCTAATATTTCATCACTAGTATTAAAAAATTCCCAATGAATATTCTATATTTATTTTCCCTATTCCCTTTACCTATCTGCATTCATGTGCTTACATAAATGAACTGTACTAGAAGTAATTAACCCCTCACATGATCCATATACATCATCAACACACAAAATTAAATGCATTGCCCCAGTTACTACACCATTTACCCCTCCCCACCTACTCATTTTTTCACCAAATTCATCCCCTGTCAATTCTCTTGTTTGATTCATTACTGACAGTAAAGAATATATCGCACATGCAATGTGCCAACCGCCCTAAGTCAGCTTTTATGAGCCCGATTAATTAAACTAATCCTGTTATTAAGTTAATCAGAAAATTCAGTTTAAATATTTGCTTCGAGTTATGTGATAGGAGTACTTTATAATATAGGCAGGCATCCAATCCGGTATTAGTAGGGAACTCGAAATACCTTTTTGGAGAATTTAATCATTGATTAGCAAGGCCATGTTATGTTGTAGTATCTCCTTTTTGTTTTCACATGGTCTTTGTTGTCAGATCCGCACATTTTGCTATGTTTCATGTGTCTTTTTCTTTCATGTTATCTATGGATTATGTTGGAAGTAGCTTTACATACCAAGCACATTGTTGGTTCAGTTTTGTGTTAACTTATCTTTCAATCACCCTCTTTATCTTAAATCACAGGTCCCCTATTTGCTTCACGTGACCTGATTTAGCTAACCATTAAAGATTAGCCAAATAGTATATTGTACTTGCACTTGTATTTTGTGGCAAAGTGAATGAGCGATCAGATCTGAGCTCACACCAGTAAATCCAAAGATCCAGCAGCTGGCTGAACTGACATACACATGCCCATATAAATGACACTTGTATTTTAATAAAGATTACCCTACCGACATTATAGATGCATTTATCAGCCCACCTTATAGATTTATTAATTGCACAAGGCAAACGGAAAGAGGTACCAGTTCCGTAATGACCGTATTCCCCATCCCCACTTGTATCACTTTAATAACTAACTACTTCACCTCAAAGGCATTACTAAATTTGTTCATATATGTCTAATCAGCCAATTTTTTTATTTTTCTCAGCGACTTGCTAACTTTAATCATGTGAACAGAGCTAAATTAAATTGTTGATTATACAGGAGCATTAGGAATAGTACAGAGAGGAGGAAATTGGGTTTTTTCTCATGTGGAACTGGAAATCCTATTGACGATTGTTGGCGTTGTGACCGTAATTGGCAACGTAACCGCAAGCGCCTAGCAGACTGTGCTATTGGTTTCGGACGTAATGCTATTGGTGGCCGTGATGGCAAGTACTATGTTGTCACTGACCCAAATGATGACGACCCTGTAAATCCCAGACCTGGAACACTTCGTCATGCTGTAATTCAGGACAGACCGTTGTGGATAGTGTTTAAACGGGATATGGTTATTACACTTAAACAAGAGCTAATTATGAATAGTTTCAAGACAATTGATGGACGTGGTGTCAATGTTCATATTGCCAATGGGGCTTGTATTACTGTCCAATTTGTTACTAATATTATTATACATGGCATCAATATTCATGATTGTAAGCCAACTGGTAACGCCATGGTACGTAGTTCACCGAGTCACTTTGGATGGAGGACAATTGCTGATGGAGATGGCATTTCCATTTTTGGGTCTAGCCATATTTGGGTTGATCACAACTCTCTTGCCAACTGTGCTGATGGCCTAATCGATGCTATCATGGGATCCACTGCAATTACCATCTCCAACAATTATTTTACACACCATAATGAGGTGATGTTATTAGGCCACAGCGACTCCTATGTTAGAGATAAGATTATGCAGGTGACTATTGCTTACAACCATTTTGGTGAGGGTCTCATTCAGAGAATGCCAAGGTAATGTTTGTTTTGTTCCACTTTTTAACATTTTTGTTCTCTGTAAATTCTTGTGCTAAAAAGGATTACCAATTGATTGATATGCAGGTGTAGACATGGTTATTTTCATGTGGTGAACAATGACTATACACATTGGGAGATGTATGCCATTGGTGGCAGCGCTTCTCCTACGATTAACAGCCAAGGCAACAGATATCTCGCCCCGGCCAACCCTTTTGCCAAACAGGTTAATTTCAGTCTTTTGCTTCTTCTCTTTTTGGGGGTAATTAGTTAATTAAGTATAACACTAATGACTAAGGTTAATCTGTTGCTAAGTTTGGTGGAACTCATACTATGGACTATAAATCGGAGCTTTAAATGATTCATTTTGGACTCTAAAGCAAGGACTTTTTGGTTGGCAGGTGACACATAGAGTGGAGCAATCAGATGTGTGGAAGCATTGGAACTGGAGATCAGAGGGAGACCTTATGCTTAATGGAGCCTTCTTTACGCCATCTGGACATGGCGCTGCAGCCAGCTATGCTAGGGCTTCAAGCTTAGCAGCAAAGGCCTCTTCCCTGGTTGGCACTCTTACTTCAAATGCTGGTGCACTTTCATGTCGCAGGGGCTACCAATGTTAATGTCTAATACATTGACACAACCACACATTACCTTTACCTGTCCGGTGAAATTGTCGTGTAATCTAGCCAATTTTATACCTTCTTTACCTTGCATCCCTTCCTAAACGCCTCACCAGCAAGATACATATGTTTCTTTTATACATTAAAATGATTCGAACCCCTCTTGTCTAGTGTTCCATCTGTCTAATGTAGCAACACTCAACCCCGCCCTGCCTCAACGAGAAAATTTTAACTCAGAGGATCTGTGGAGCAGGTGTTGAAGTGTTGTACCCTACACATCATATTTCTCCTTAGTCATTCCCTTTCTCTTCTACCACGTTTGCTTAAAATCTTGATCACCTTCTACTTGTCTTGCTTACGGTTGATAGGAGCATTCAGAAACATAGTACCAAAGAGATTGCAGAAAACATGCACAATAAAAAAAAAGACAATGAAAGCTGATTTTTCTGGTTTATTGTTAAACATGTTTAGCATTAAGTGTTGAAACTGGCATCTTATATAATGTAATTATTATGGTTTTCCTTCATAATTCAAGTTATTTCTGCCTACTTTTTATCACTTTCCCCCTATTTAATTTTCTATAAATGTCGCTAAAAGTTGAATTATTATGATGGCAATTACAGTTTTGCTTCACCTTAATTATCAGTATTGCAGTAAATGAATTTTTGGAGAGGGGTAGTCATTATTTAAATTAGATTGGTTTTGACTTTTAAGGTTTAACTTATTGTACTTTTGAAATTATGAGTTCAGACTTAATGCTTGTTGAAACTTTAGTGATTTAATTTTTCACATAAATATTTAAATCGTGGGTCAAAAAATATTGGATTCTATTGAGATATTAGCACAGGGGCTGCATCCACCACGATATGGATGCCACAAGAATTGCATGTGAGATTAGGCAGGCGGTACATGCCTATTCTTTACCTACAGAACATGCCATTTTCTTGCCCATAAGTATCTTGCAGGCAGCATACAGCCATGTGAAGTACTTCACCATTCATCCCTGGATCCGGCACCAAAACAAACACTTTTTGAATTCTAAACACCAAAAGGGACCTCTTTGTAAAAACACACACCAAAACAGACAGTTCACCCATTTGAAACTTGATAATAAAGTATTCATATCAAATTGGCTTAATAATTTCTCAGTTTCACCACAACTATCTAAATGAAATGTTAATTCAAGCAATAACATTATTATCAAGGAAATTTCTAATCTAAATAAAGTAAAATCAAGTCTAGATAGACCATATTACTTCTAATTCATATTCAAGTCAAATATTTCTCGACTCTGTAGATTCGTTCAAATGGTTCGATCCTTCCCAGTAAAACGTGGTGTGTTCGATAAACTCTATGCAATTTAAACATCAATTATTATGCTTCCCTAAGGAACTAGACACTGGCGCCACAACTCCTCAAATGACAATGAAAAATACGTCACCCTGGAAGGCATCTTAAAGGAGAAGATTTGGTGTTGTGCCCACCAACATAACTTAATTTAGTCTATACACACGACATATTTTTTTTGATTTATTTTGTAGGGTTCCTTTAAGAAAAAGTGGGGATGCATTGTGGGGTCAGGGACTTTTTTATCACTTTAAAAACTTGGGGGATAAAATAGAAAAAAATTATTCTATGAGAGGCATAGATATTAGGTGGCAGATAATACTTGTGTGAGGTACTTTTGTGCTTTGACAAGTGGATTTTAGGTCCCACTTGCAAGAAAAATGGCCTAAAGGTCCGTTTTCCCCCTCTAATATCTCTCCTGCTTAGTCCAAATTTTCTTCCTATGCTTTTTAAAATTTGCTAACGTAATTTTTGTTATGTTTTTTGGCTGTTCGGTTTTGTCATTTTTAATAGAAAATATGATAATATAACAATAATATTTAATTAACAAATACAAAAAAAAACATAAAATGCACTTCTGACATTATAAAATAAAAAGATACATCAAATTAGAAAATAAATACGAAAAAATCTAATTATTATAAAGACAAACACATGAATATCAATTAAGAGTTCAGAAGATTAATATCTATCATAATCCTTTTAAAAAAATGTATTTATATAGTTCATGTGAATCAAAGTGGTGAATTGTTTACGGACAATTTAATAGTAAATAATAGAGTGAAAATTTCAATTATAATAAATTAATGTATGATCTTCTACAAGCGAACACAAGTATGCATTTTTTTTATATCTAAGTTTTCATATTTTCTAAATATCATTTATAAAATAATTTTTTAAAATAAAACATTTTATGAAATTAAGACACGAGATTTTAAAATACTAATAATTTGTAGTTTCACTTTCTTCAATTCCTTAAAACTTATCCAAAAAATTAAATTTAAATTTTTCGATACACCCACTTTGATTTTTCCTCAAATAATTGATGGGGCAGAAGATGTTATTGTTTCTCGCTTAACTAGAAGTCTCGAGTTCAAGCTTTGAGTATGATTTTTTTTTGATAAATAATATATCACTTCGAACAAAATTTTACATAATACAAATCTTAAATAGTCCTGTTTCAATTCATATATCGGATACTAAATAAAATGTCAAAAAAAAATCATACAAAAATAAAATTATCTTAAGAGTTAACAAGTACTAGTAGAAAAAAATGCAAGAAAGTGTTTAGAAGAAATAAAGAAAAAGTATTAAAAAAGGGTTAAAAATAGATGAGAAAAGGAAATGAAAGAAAGTGAAATGTGGTCCCAAAACATATACTTGGAAGCCAAACAACACCTCATACAATTGACAATAGTTGCACCTCGTACATGATAAGTTTTTTTCGATAAAATACAAGTCATTTCTTCCCAACACTTCAAATATTAAATAAATTTAATCCCTCCAAAAATAAAGTACAATCCCAATATAAAAAAAATAATATATTGGGTTATCAGAAAACCCTTTTTCGATGAAACCTCAGAACTTTATTCTTCAATGTGGCTTTTGATCTTCCATATACCAGCTTTATCGATATCGTAAACCTCCATAAAACACGCTTTCTCAAAGAACCAACCTTTCCATCTTCTATTCTTGAAACCATAAACAAACGTAAGATCCCATAATAGTTCCTGAAGATTTCAAACGAAGTGAATCAGGTCTATTTTGTTCAATTTCCTTCCCCAAGTTCAGTTGAATCTTGTTCAATCTTCTTCCTCTCATGCAAGTTTAATCGTATTTCGAGTAACTTTTAGTCCTATTTGATTTATTTTTTAATTGCGGTAGTGTAGTAAAGTTTAGATTTTTGCTTAAACTTTTGAAAATCTGACTCTTTTTAGTTTATGTGTTTGATTCGGCATCGTTAATGACGTTTTGGTTTGAATAATGCATAGACTTTTTTGAAAGTTTTATGTTAGCAATTTGAAGACTTTTATTGTATTTTGATCAATTTTAATCGATTTTAAAGTTCTATGTTAGCGATTTTACTGTTGATTTCTGTTTGAACTGCTACTTATTTTGCATATTTTTTAATGTAAGCTCTGATTTTGTTAATAGACTACTGGTCGATATTTTGATATGACAAATTTGTTTTTGCTTGTTTATAGTACAATATGGCTAAAACTAGAGGCGACATCATTAAACGATCTGGTACTAATGCTTCTAAACATAAGAAAATAAAGGCTGAAGAAGTTTCCAAAGCTTCAAAAAAGAAAAAAAAATGTTGTGGAAGAACATGAGTCAAACTCTGATTCTGATACAATGGCCGAGATTGACAACTACCAGGACAGTAGTGCCGAGTCTAGTGATGATGTTGAATCTAGTAATGATAAAAGTGACAGTGATGAGTAGTAGAGATACCCAAACTGGTGATGAGGATGAAGATTCCCTGTCTTTGCCAATTTGTGCAAGAGACATTTCTGTTAAGTTGTATGATTTAAAGACATGGATAGATGAGATAGGATCGTTTCCAACAAAAATTTCTATTAGATCAAGGATGACTATTTATCATGATTTGATAAATCTTTCAGTTTAAGAAAAAAATTATGAAGATTTTAAAGGTACTTGTTTTGGACACTTGAGGCATATTCCAGAACATTTCAAGTTCAATGGACAAATGGTTCATTATATGTTGTTGCGACATGTGAAAAGTGACAAAAAAATACATGACATTTGATTCTGTGTGAATGATAATTCTGCTTGTTTTGGCTTAAAAGAATTTACATTGATTACGGGTTGAATTGCTCAGCATATACCCCCGTGATGCAAAATTGAAAAAAGTTCTTGTAAAGGGAGAGAAATTTTACTACAAGGTGACTAAGAATAAGAACATTACTGCTACAAAGTTGATGCATTTGATCAAGGGTTCCAAGTTGAATAAGGAGCAGAAGTTGAAGTGCTCTTTTGTTTTGTTCGTTGACACAATGTTGCTTGCCCATGATCGATCTAAAATTGTGGATTCAAGCCACATTAAGATGGTGAATGATTTAGATTTCTTCACTAGTTATCCATGGGGAAAAAGAGTTTTAATTTAACATTGATGTATCTGAAGAATAAAATCAATTTGAAGAAGCAGAGTAAAGTGTTTAATGAAAGAGGAAATGCATCGTATGCTCTGTATGGATTTCCCTGGGCATTTCTTGTACTTCTTATAAAATATGTAGTTGATTTATGATAAATTCTTATATATTTGTGTAGTATTTTATAGTCTCTGTTTATTTATTTGTTCTTTTATTAATTTCAGGTTTGGATATATGAGGCTTTTCCTCATCTTGAAAAGTATGTCAAGAAGTCCTTGGATTCTCCTTTGCCCATTCCCCATTTACTTAGATGGCACACCGTAAAAAATGATAATATTATCGAAGGTGATCCATTTAAGTACAAAGGAAAAAATACAAAGGTACAAAGTTATTTATTATTATTTAGCAATATTTATAAATTGATGAATGTCATGTAATATTTGTATTTATTGTTTTTTCGTAAGTTGTGCACCCATACCTTACACCTACTGTCCGTGAGACAAAAAAGAGTTACTTGGCAACATTAAAGCCATCTATGGACAAAGTGAAGGATACAATCCTCGATGCCTTAAAGGCAAATTTGAAAGTGTGACTGTCCTTACTTCAACAGTAGAGAATGTGGAGGATGGGTATTTAAGTGATCACAATCCTAATCAACCTTGTGAGAATTCTGTACCAAGTA